CATCAGGGGCTGGATCCAAATTCCAGCGAAGTCAGTGCGAGATTTTCCATATCCCCCCCCATGGGCTTTGGATCGGGTTCCACAGGAGGATGGACAGAGGTCAGTGAACTTTTGATGCATCTCTTTTCCTGCACTTAGCAGCTGTTGGCTGGGCTGTACTGGCATCACTGACTCTTCCCTACCTCTGCCTGTTTAAGATCTAAATAGCAGATGCTTTTCGGGATCTTTTTGCTTGCAGCTTGAGGCCTTTCCCAAGAGGCTGACTTCCTTTTGCCCAGTGACTCCCCTACAACCCCACCTCTGCATCACCAGCAAGACCTTTCCAGTGATCAGGCTGAGCAAAAGCATCTCCAGAGATTTTTTTATACCTTAGAACTAGGGTGACCAGACAGCAACTGTGAAAAATCGGGACAGGGGTGGGGGGTAATAGGCTTCTATATAAGAAAAAGCCTCAAATATCGGGACTGTCCCTATAAAATCGGGACATCTGGTCACCCTACTTAGAACTGACTCAAAAAATTAGAATCCCTCCCACAGAACTAGCACAGCCTGTAATTGAAGACACTGGCAACCTAGTGTAGGAACTTCTGGATAGCCGTCCTCTCCCTTATACACCCTCTAGTACAATGAAACCCACATCTAACTTAGATTGTAAACTCTTTGAGCGAGGCGCTCACTCTTCTGTGTGCCTGTGCAGTGCAAAATACACCTGCAATGATGCCATATCAATAATGGTCCATTTTCGCCCCCTCATCTCCAACAATCACATTCACACACCAGCTTGTGACACTTGCTAGAGCCTGGGAGCAGCTGTCTGAGATGCAGTCAAGCCAGAGACGCAATTACCAGATTGCAGGGGGATCTCAGGTTCTCCTAGCGGATTGCCCCGCAGGTGCACGAAGGGAGAGTGCTGGATCTCGGGGGGGATGGAGCGGAGCCAGTTGTTCTGCAAGTCAAGCCTGGACAAGTTGGGAAGGCTGGCAAGGGATGCGGGGACAGTCACCAGGAGATTGCTGTGAAGACGCAGCTGCTGCAGAGACCGCAAATTGGCTGCAAGTTAGAACAAGAAGAAAAATTGCCCCCCCCCAACTCAGTAAATACATGAGTAGTGATTCTAACAACCCCCAACATACACATCCATCCCCAATTCCCCTCAGCAAGCACCCAGAGCACCACCCCAGCCTGCCTGCACCAGACCCCCAAACACACACACAAATCATGGATATATTTCAATCATGAGAGAAGCACAAAGCTCGTGGGTTCAGAGAATTAGCAGGTTGGGACAGCAGTAAGTTCTTTGGAACAGGGACTGTCCTTTTGTTCTGTTTGTACAGAGCCTAGCTCAATGGGACTCTGGTCCATGCCTGGGGCTTCTAGATGCTACGGCAATATAACAACCACGGCAGAAACCTGGGCATAGTAATGCAAAAATCAAAGCTGTGGAAATAGGCCCATTCAGAATACAGGTTTGAGATCTCAGAGTCCAGCACTAAACGGCTTTCTGGATTGGTCTGGACTCAACACAGATGTCATTTAAAACCGAACAACCCATCAATATAATTAGCCCTCAGTGTGTTGCCTCACATCAGCAACTGCAGAGAAGCTGGGATCCTGTCAGGAGCCAGTGCCCTAGCCTGCCAAAGGGCTGGATCCTCAGCTGGTGTAGGTCAGTTTGAAGGCAATGGCGTTATCCTGATTTATAACAACTCAGGATCTGGCCCAGAGTCTTCTGAATCTTCAAAGTGCTCGGTTTGCTCACTGACTAAATTGACAGGGCTCCATATAGACAATATCCTGCTCCTAGCAAGTCGTGTAAGAGATACCTCCCGATCCACAGCCCAGCTTGGGGGTGATGAAGCAAGCGGGGCAGTGACAGACACCGAATCCCATTTAAAGCCTAGGTTTTACATGCCTTTCTGTTCAAAGACTCCCTAAAACCCACCCATTCCATGTCAGGAGCGAGGGACGTTCATTCTCTCTTTCTTCTGGGTGCACCTCTTACCAAGTGAGTCTGGGACGCCCATCAATTGATTCCCTGAGAGATCCAGCTCCATGCAGTTATACAGACTCCCAATCTCGTCGGGAAGTGATTGCAGGGCGTTTTCAGACAGGTCCAGTCTCTGCAGCGCTGCCAGCTCCCCGATGCTCCGTGGTAGATCCCGGAGCTGGTTTTTCATGGCAGAGAAGAAAGTCAGCTTACTGAGCTGGCCAAAGTCTTCGGGCAGCTCCACCAAGCTGTTGTGGCACACCAAGAGCACACGGAGGCTGGCAAGGTCAGTGACGCAGCTGGGCAACCTGGAGAAGCTATTAAAGCTGAGATCCAGATGAGTGAGACATAGCAGACTCCCAAAATCTTGTGGCAAGGTTGTCAGGGAACCCTGCTGACAAGCACCGAATTCATCCTGGGCATGCCCACCTGGGGGCACGGAAAAACAGAGAAAAAGGAGTCCATGTTACATGGATTCTGCTAAACTAGCATCAGATAGGCATATACAGCTCCCTCTGAAATCGACAGCATGGCAAACTGGAAGTTTGGACAATGTTAACAGGGGGCTGGAGGGATTGGTGCGTGCACGCAGATTACAAGAGCAAAATGTATACATGGCCTAAGGGCTAGTGCACTAAAGTGTGGCTCAGGAGACCTGGGTTCTATTCCCAGCACTGTCACTGGGTGGGTGAGTCACCTGTATGACTTCACCTCTCTGTGTCTCAGTCTTTCCATCTGTAAAATGGGCTGTATCAATTGTGGAGGGCTCTGTATGGGGCGGGGGGGGAATTCTGCGGAGCAGGGCATCTGCACTGTATGTATGAGGGGTCTGTTTTAGCAGTCATTCTTTTTTTTTGGTCCAATCTGACCCCTGGATGTTGGACACCTAAAATTTTGGTGTTTTAACAGCTGAGGAGGAGAGGAGAGATTTATCTGGTACACAGTGGGAGAAGGGAGAATTAGGAGTTATAGGATACACTTATGAAAGAGGCAATTTTAGCTGAAGATGGGGACATTTCCCTGAGAGGGAAGCATATTTGGCTGCGGCACAGTTTCCCCAAGGGAAATGATAGAAGTTTCACTGCTTGGGACGTTTAAAACTAGCCTGGACAGCAGCACATTGGTGATAACCCGTACTGGCAGGGAGGGGGACTGCATGGTCTAATAGCTTTCCCCATCTCTAACTTCAACAAGTCTAGGTTTGATGGGAGCTGTGCTCCAAATAACAAATCCAGCATATTCAAAGGATTTCTGGCTTGCTTGAGACTACCAGGACAAGTGACTCATGTGGGAGAGGGGGGAAAAAAAAAAAAGATGTGGCAGCCACATGATTTAAATTCACACTTTCCAGAAATGTACCAATATCCTCCCTCCCTCCTACTCACCACCGTCCTGCAGTGCAATTTTAAATGCTTACATTAGAGAAACCCTGGATTAGCAAATAGTAGGGCTTAAATAAGGAATTCTTAGTGAACCAAGTTTTTCTACTTTTTTCAGGATACTCAGAGTATCTGAGCACTTCACAACATAAATCTATGGAAGTAGGGAAGTATTAATATGCCCATTCTACAGATGGGAAAACTGAGACCCAAATCCACAAAGGTATTTAGACTTCTAACTTCCTGTGATTTCAAATACCTTTGTGACTCTGGGCCAGAGATACTTGCCTAAGGTCGCATTCTGGTGGAGCAGGGGAAATGAACCAGGTCTCCTGACTCTCAGGTTAGTGTCCCAGCCACTGGACCATCCTTCCTCTCTGACATGCACATACAGTTCCCCCCAGAAAACTGGGGGGGTTCAACATTTTTCCAAGATTACTAAAGACACACCATTCATATTCACAGCCTCCTAGCAAACTGGGAAGCCAAAGAAGCAATACAATGGTCAACAGGTATTTATTGAATGTCATCATGCATGGGCTACAAGTCATAGGCCTATCCACTCCAATACTTTTTGTGCTCCTGATAAGTTAGTTTCTTTGCTGTTCATTCTCGAACCAGGTTCCCAGCCTGTGCTGCAGGGCACAGGACGAGGGTCTGTTCAGAAAGCTACAGCAGAAGGAAATGCAGTGAAAGGAATCATTACATCTCATAAGGGGGAGGAGGGGAAATAATCACCAAAAATAATTTCAATCAGACTCTCCACAACTAAAGATCCAACCAGTCTCCATTCAAGTGACAGTCAAATAAAAGGCTGCACCTGTCAGACTGAATCAAGTGAGGAAATTGGTCCCCAGCAGCTGTGGAAACAAAGGATGAGAATAACAGCCCCTGTGCTGGATCTTGCTGAAGCTGCATGCTGCTCCCCGTAAGGCTAACGGACCCAAAGCCGCTGCAAGGGGCGCTAGTGCACAATGGAAACCATAAAGCGCATCCATCCTGTAGGAGCAGATGGAAAGAGCCAAGCCCAGACGAATGTGCAGGGATGCTTTTCCATGTCTTACCT